ATTCCAGTCTCTCTGTGTCCATCGGAGGTGACGTTGGGCCCACAGCAGACGTTGACGTTGATGAAACGGCGTCAATATTGGCCCACGATAGGGACGTCGAGAATGGAGATTGGCAGCCCGCAACCGATTTCGAATGGTCTGTGAGGACAGTCGACCTCTAAACATCTCAGCCCTGGTTCGTGTAGCCGGCAGAAATCTGTCACGTAGGTGACGTAGGACGATTTGACGGTCTTCTGCTCGTGACGTAACACGTGGACGACCCGACCTTGGGCGATCAGAAGTGGTGCCAGTTTGTTGTCATACACAGTACGACGGCTGCATCCCATTGCTCTTGCGACGTCAATAACTGATCTTCCCGCTTGCAACATGCCAACGGCACGTTCACGTTGCACATTTGACAATCGTGGCATTTCAAGTACCGTTAGAACTGTGGTTTAAAAGTGTTTTTTCAATTCTTGAGACCAATGCAAACACGTGCATATGAAGAAAACTTCGATGCGAAGATCACGTGATCGACTGCACGTGCAAAACCTGATTTGGCACTAACGTCATTTGCACGACGAATGGATGGGTTTGAGTGGGGTTTTGCTAACGTTTTTCTAGAGTCGAAAGATAGGGATCCCATTTCGGATAAATAGATGTATCATCAGAGAAAAATTATTCATTATTTTTCAAATTACATTTTGTGAAGTTTCTTTTTTGACTCAGTATAATATTTGGCTGTCAACAGATTTACGAGTAAAGTTCTTGACCAAAAAATTTTATCTTCACATTATGAAATCTGTATTCTTCATTGAAAAAGACAACAGTCTTTTAAAATGATTTTAACTTTGCGCTCTGTAATTCTAAAGAGATCAGTTTGCATATTTGAGGTAATTTTGTGTGAATTTAAGCTAAGAGAGATTGTGATTTTTTTTCTGAACTCGCGTATATATTTTTTGTTCACGAGAATATTTTGTACGGACAAAGAAAATACGACAGTCATCATTGAATTGAGACAATTATAACATGATTTTGCTTTTTGCAACCTCATGTGTTTGTGTTACAGTGTCGACGCAGAGATTCTTAGTGAACTCAATGACCTCAGCGGTTGTTTATCGTAGAGATATCGGGCTCCAGTAGCACGAGAACAACTTTCATACCACTGATATAACCAGCGTTTATATCGCTATTACACTGTGACAAATACCCTGCATCCAAGCTTCCATAGTGCTTGATTCGAATGGATGATGCTAAAAATAGCCGTCCAATCAAATTGCTCCCCTAAGCAAAGGAATTGCTGTGCTACTTAAACGAGAGGGGATATTCTTGCGAATTGGTCCGGGGTGTATATCGTTTATAATTGGTGGTGGGTTAGCTTAGTGGTTAAAGCGTTCGCTCGTCATGCCGAAGGCCTAAGTACGATTCCTCACATGGGTACAACATTGGCGGATCCAGAGGGGGGGTCAGGGGGTTCGAACACCCCACCCCACCACCCATTCCCCCACCCCCACCCCGCCTTTGAAAATGACTTAAGACCATATTGAAGATTTGTTTTGCGTTGGCGGAGCCAATGGGTGGGTGGGTGTGGTGGGGGGTCAGGGGGTTCGAACCCCCCGAACCCCCTCCTTTGAAAATTCCTGGATCCGCCAATGTACAATTTGTGAAGCCCATTTCTGGTGTCCCCCGCCGTGAAATTGCTGGTATATTGCTAAAAGCGGCGTAAAACCCAATTCATTCACTATAATCGAGGAAGTAGTGAATATTGACAGGTTAATATGACAAATCGAACAAACTGGCTTATTTCTCTTTTTCCGTTATTTTTATTCCATTCCTGACAAGTGAACATACAAAATCAGTTGTACATTACGTTAAGGGCCTCACGTGGTTTACTAAGAATCAGTTGACACCAGTTTATTCCAGCTATATGACGACGGTCTGTAAATAATCGAGTCTGGACCAGACAATCCAGTGATCAACATCTTGAGCATCGATTAACGCAATTGGGATACGATGACATGTGTCAACCAAGTCAGCGAGCCTGACCACCCGATCCCATTGGACGCCTCTTACCACAAGCACGGGTTACTGAAGACCAATTCTAACCCGGACCTTCACGTGCGTTTACTGGTTTAGGGTCAGAAGTTTCTACTACACCGGATGCTGATTTCTGTAGGGCAAAGAGATCTGTGATTCATATTTACGCAGTCAAAATAGCTAATTCTTTACAATGAATCTACTAATGTGAACAGCTTCAATACAGGCGGCCCCTCCACGAATACCCGGAGTGATAACTGTCTCTAAACTGCAGTAGCCTACTCTTCACCAATCCGGTTAATTCTGATATGCGTGAATGTCACAAAATGTAGTATGTGTTTGAACACTATTGAGGAATTTGTGGAACGATGTAACAGCATAATGACGAATTCCTTATATTTCAGTGGATCAACTTAAGCCTAGTTAGTAAGTCGCACAAAGTTTCAAGAATATGTTTCGCCCGTTTCCCCTAAGGGTACTGGAGGTGAGGTGAGGTGAAATTGGGTTTAACGTCGTGCTTGAGAATATTTCGCTCCTATGACGACGTGCATGCGTGTGTACGTGTACGTGCGGCTGCTTGAACTAGCCCAGACTGAAGCTGGTTTTATAGTGCTAGCCCACTGATATACCATGCACCAGTGAAGCATGAATACCCCACTCAGACACATTATACTGACTCCGAGCCAACCAGTCCTTGTTGTACCCATTAATGCTGAGCGCCAGGCAGGGACCAACAAGTACCATATTTTAACGTCTTTTGGTATGACGCGGTCGGGGATCGAACCCACGACCTTCCGCTCTCCGCTCGGACGCTCTAACCACTACACCACGGAGGCGGTCTAAGGGTACTGGAAAGTATATTTGACACATATATTTGATAATAAATACGGTTTCAGGTGTATTTCCGATACGTAAGTTCGAAATATAGCACTTCAGTTTTTTATTTTAATATTGATTATAATGTTGATCAGTGAAGTTTTTTCACGTTTAGCAGTGAACTTCAGAAAGATACTATCAAGTAGGAAAATGCATAAATCTTATTAAAACAATATCTTTGTCTGATGGAGAGGTGGCAAATCTAAAAAAACAATCTTACTTGAACCTGGATCTGAGTAACTGAACCACTCGTAAACTATGAGATACCACACCGTGTACACGCAGCCACGAAAATGTCATTGCCAGAGATCCAGATCGATCGTATGGGACTAATTGAACCGCTCATAAAATGTAAGATATCACACGGTGTACCAGTCAGCGAGTTGGATTTTACGCCGCTTTTAGCAATATTCCAACAATATCACGGCAGGGGACACCAGAAATGGGCTTCACACATTGTATCCATGTGGGCAATCGAACCCGGGCCTTCGGCGTGACGAGCGAACACTTTAACCACTAGGCAAAACCACGATTTCTTTTCGGGGTAAACACTGTACTGAGCCGAAGAGGTAATTATCTGTCTACATATTTCATAGTTCAGATCATAGTCCAGTCACTGTGTACACACACCCTCCACATTGTTTTCACATTAGAATGTGAAACTCCCGAATTGGCCTTCAGTTACAACTATATAATGTACTGTAAATAAATACTTCATAAGATATCACTTGCATGTGTGTCTATAATACAAGACAGTGAGTCCTTTGAGTGGAACTGTAGCTGTCAACAATGTTATTCGTACGAACACCCCTAAACAAGTGTTCATAATATATCTCCGCCATATAGCTAGAATATTGCTGAGTGCGGCGTAAAAGTAAACTCACTAAAACTCATAATAATTATATCTGTGGAGGGGCATAGAAGGTCCAGCTGTCTGAGGTGCAGCTCCTGGCTGTTGTCCTCATCACCGTCTTGGCTTTTCAAGCCACGGAACTCTTACAAAGGTTAATGTGGCACCAAGTGTTATACCCCTTCAACACCTCTGAACAGCCAGCCTTTAAATACGTACTGTATAGGCATCTGAAATTTGTTTCTTTGTGAAACACATGGGCACAGTATCAACTTCGCTAAAATGTGTTTGCAATGTGTACTTCACTTCCTGCAATGACTGACCATTTACTGGTGTTTGTTCCCAGGCAGTTGGCAGTCGCTGTTGTATTCAGTTTGAACAATGTGAAATACGAAGAAACTGGAATGTCAGTTCAGTAGCTTGAGACCTTTGACTGCTGTTATTGTGAACAACACAGAACATAAAAAATACAAAGTTTTATTTCTGAATAAAAAGATGTAGTTTGTTCAAATACCTCTGTTATTTATCCAAGAGCATGATCCTGTTTTCTAATACTCACAACACATGCATGGAACAAACGTATAAATACATGTATTAAAATAATATCACAAAAAGTGTCTAAGTTCAGATAATATCACTAAATGAAAGACATCAGTGTCAATGCAGAATTAACATTAATCATATTCATGTTTCATTGATCGCCAGTCTTCGGGCCTTAAGATGAATGACTTTGGAAGCATATGTGGAACTTTGACTTACGCAGTTAAAACCTTGGCCAACCCTGGACATACATGTGTGTGTATGCATGTATGAGTGCGCACGCACGCACGCACGCACGTACGTACGCACACAAAGTGTCAACATACCCTGACGACGTGAATCATTGTTTAAGATCTGTCGGGTCCAGATTCACAGACATCCATCATCTGGTTAGAATATTGCTAAAATACGCCAAACAATAAACAGACATGTTAGATAGTCAGTGTTGCAAAATAGGTTCTTCACATTGCAGTACAAAACAATATAAAAGAATTATAAGTGACCTCTTTAATGGCCACACATGATACAACTATTTACACGGGTATACGATGTACTCGTTCTAATCTCCACTCTCCACCCGTGAAGGTCCGGGTTAGAATTGATCTTCAGTAACCCATTCTTGTCGTAAGAGGCGACTGACGGGATCGGGTGGTCAGGCTCGCTGGATTGGTTGACACATGTCATCCGTTCCCCATTGCGCAGATCGATGCTCATGCTGATGATCACTGGACTGTCTGGTCCAGACTCGATTATTTACAGACCGCCGCCATATAGCTGGAATATTGCTGAGTGCGGCGTAAAACTAAACTATTATTAATTCACAATATCACACAATTGCAGTGAATCTCGGGGAATATTTAAGCGACTGTCACATGTGCATTTAACTCAGATTAAAGCCACATTTTGAACAGGATGTCCTTAACATTAATGAAATTGTTTGGGTCGTCACATGCTTAGAACTCGAAATAATTGGGACAATGCTACTCCGAGTATTAGTGTATTGGTATCATTAAACCTCGGAAACTTTAAATGTATTCAGGATTCCTTGAAAACAACTGCACATCGTACAGCAGGAGTTATATAATCACTTTAAACTCCCGTCAAAATGGAAAAACTTAAAGTTGCACCTTTACGTATTTGTTACGTATAATGTTAACAGTCTATCTTGACAATCAAGAGTATCAGTAGTCATTTTCACGGGGTGGTGACTGTCAATTTCAAATCAAACGGTTTTATAGCCACCGTGGCTTTACTTCAAAGATAGTGATCCAGTTATCATGAGGCGTGGACTTGTTTCACAAAGATATAATTGCTGTTATGAATGTAAGCTACAGTAATTAACAATAGACGTTTTGTGAAACACGCTTCTGTGTCCTGCCCAAACACGTGTTTCCGTTAGTCCCCCGATCTTCCACCGCTGGTGTCTTTCACTGTGTTGCTGTCGGTGTTTAGGGAAGAATTTCCGTTCTTCTTTGGATTGTTTTTGTCTTCTAGGTATATATCTGTGATCACCTGTGATCCCTCTGCCCTGCGATATGCATGCCGGGAAAGCAGCGCCAGCAGGAACATTTCCACGATGAGAATCAAATGGTTCCAAACTGCAATTGAAAACAACTTTGTAACATTTCTTTACAGTCCGTGATCGTCTTTTACCTTTTATCATTACGAACAAAGTGATGATAGTGCTATGATTTAAATTTCAGTATTGTATTGCACTTACCATCGCCTGATCCGGAGGGAGACAGCACTGGTGTACAAGCTGGAGGGTTGTTGTTGGACTACTTTCCCCAGCAGAAGGAACACTTACCACCTCTTGCAGAGGAAGACATCATTGGTGTACAAGCTGGAGGGTTGTTGGACTACTTTCCCCAGCAGAAGGAACACTTACCACCTCTTGCAGAGGAAGACATCATTGGTGTACAAGGAGGAGGGTTGTTGTTGGACTACTTTCCCCAGAAGAAGGAACACTTACCATCACCTCTTGCAGAGGAAGACATCATTGGTGTACAAGGAGGAGGGTTGTTGTTGGACTACTTTCCCCAGAAGAAGGAACACTTACCACCTCTTGCAGAGGAAGACATCATTGGTGTACAAGGAGGAGGGTTGTGGTTAGACTACTTTCCCCAGAAGAAGGAACACTTACCATCACCTCTTGCAGAGGAAGACATCATTGGTGTACAAGGAGGAGGGTTGTTGTTGGACTACTTTCCCCAGAAGAAGGAACACTTACCATCACCTCTTGCAGTGGAAGACATCAGCAGAAGGAACACTTACCATCACCTCTTGCAGAGGAAGACATCATTGTTGCACAAGGAGGAGGGTTGTGGTTGGACTACTTTCCCCAGAAGAAGGAACACTTACCACCTCTTGCAGAGGAAGACATCATTGGTGTACAAGGAGGAGGGTTGTTGTTGGACAACTTTCCCCAGAAGAAGGAGGAGGGCATTCGTGACCAACTCGTGTTATTCCGGGACAAGCCGAATAGCGACTCGTGCCCCTCTGGGAGGATTTCATATTGGCGCATGAACATCAGAACTACTTTAAACAGGAACGATAACTCAATTATTGTTTGATTCCAATGGTACTTAATACCACCGAAGTAATCATACATTGTATTGCTGTTTGTGTTTTTTAAAGAATTAAACCTTTTTGATACAACTAAAAGAAGGGGAAACTTATTTGTTACAGACTTATTCTCACGTAATTATTATCAGATGTTCACCTTATATTTCCAAATATATTTCTAAATAGGATTTGATAATCACCCTAGGGATTTGTTTTATTAATTATGCAAATAAAATTTATAAAAGCTACATTAAATCCTAAAGCAAAAACTCAAAAATGACTTTAAAATATTTCTCAAAGTGAACATTCGTGTAACCTTGCCGTCATACCCCAAATGGAATTTGAAATGAATTCGCTGAAAATATAAGAATGACAAAAAAAAAATGTCAAACTAAAAACCAGAATCTATGCCCAATGTTAAAGATTAAAGTTGATCAGTTACATGCAGATATATGTTTAATATTATTGTTTTGAAACTCGAAGCGATTTTTAATTACATAAAAAAAATTCCCAAAATGTTGGAAGCGCACCAAAGCACCGCAGTCATTTACGCGCGTTCGGATTGGTTTGTCGTATTTTCGCACATAACAAGCATCGAGAGGGGGACGAGTCTTCTTGGTGGTTACGGAAAGAGGCGAGTGGTGACGAATGGGAGGAGGGTTGTTGTTGGACTACTTTCCTCAGTAGATGCAACACTTACCATCACCTCTTGCAGAGGAAGAGGGGCGGTGGGGTAGCCTAGTGGTCAAGGCGTTTGCTCGTCACGCCGAAGACTCGGGTTCGATTCCCCACGTGGGTACAATGCGTGAAGCCCATGTCTGGTGTCCCCCGCCGTGATATTACTGGAATATTGCTAAAAGCGGCGTAAAACCACACTCACCAACTCACTCACTTGCAGAGGAAGACAGCATTGGTGTACAAGCAAGATGGTTGTTGTTTGACCAGTAGATGCAACACTTACCCGGTGTCTTACCATCACCTTGTGCAGGAGACGACAGTATAGGCAAACCAGGAGAAAGGTTATTCGGGGCTAAATGCGACACTTACTTGGACTCGTGCAGTAGAAGTTAGTAGAAAGACCGTTTTGCTAAACAGACATGTTTGTTTTTGTCCGATGAAAGACTTTCCCTAAATGATGCAATACTTACCGCCGACTCGAGCAGCAGGAGACAAACACGAAGAAAATGTTGTTTTGGGCCAGATGTGACAGTAGAAGAAAGTAGAAAGACCGTTTTTCTAAACAGAGAAGAGGCTTGTTGTTTGTTTGATGGACGTTCCTTAATGGTGTGATACTTACCATCGCCTCGTGCATTAGAGGGTAGGGTGTCTGTACAAGGGGGCAGCTGGTTGCTGGCCAGAAGATCAAAGACCAACGTCTGGAGGTCGCTGATGGCAAGAACGACCTGCAAGCTGATGAACTTTGGGATAATGTTGAACGCCTTCAATTGTTTCCTAGTGGCTTCGAACAAGAGGATCGAGCCGTACACTGCTATAAGGGTGGACGCACCATTCATAATGTTTGTGTACATGAAGGGCTGATTGGGCATCATCTGAAAGAGAGAGGATGTTGGACGTTTTTTGAATAGTGTCCCAGTTTGATGCAGGTTGTGCTTGACATTTTGATGAAACACAATGGTATGGTCCTGATGAACCTAGTAACAATCAGGACACGATGATGCACAGTGAATTGCAGCGTCCGAGACGACAAGGATAAGCACAGCCGTCTATCAGAAAAACCAAACCAGATATGTCAAACATTATATCTTCTAAATTACTCTTCTGAATTACCTTGTACATGTAAACAGAGAAAGATGGCGATTTTGATTATTTCAATTCCGAAAGATGACGGTCATGATGATGCGTTTTGTGACAGTGCAAGATGGTAGGTATGATACCTAGCTTTGAAAGAAACATTTCCTGGCACTGAAAGAAACTGTTTTCAGATTACTTTATGTACTTACCACTCCCCGAATATATTTCTTATCAGTCCACAGTGCAGCAGTAAGAAGCACCAAGATCGGTCTAAATACGGCAAATTGTAAAACAGTCATCTTAATTCTGAGGAGGTTCTTTCTGAAAGAGTATAATGTCATCATTAGAAACCAAACAACCCTCTGTTTTAGAACAGTGGATAACGACGTTTACGGCCACCTCAACAAATACATATGTCGGAATTGTTGGACATTTAGCGGATATATAAGCATCTATATGGTCAGGTTTTTGAAGAAGATGGTCAATCCAGTTTGCTGGATAACGGGTAATTAGTTAAAGTGTTATCTAGTTCAATAAATGCTTGAGTTCTATTCACAACACGGGCATAAAATGTGAGGTTCATTTTCAGCCATTTTATGTAGTACTGCAACTCCCTCAGTCACTTTATCATTAATTATCATCGCGGTATCAGTTACAAGTACGAGTACACATTCTCGTACAATTATATTTATCAAGAGAACATAACAGGGCTTGCAACTTCTTCTCAAAGTGCCCTGAGTGAGTGAGTGAGTGTGGTTTTACGCCGCTTTTAGAAATATTCGAGCAATATCACGGCGAGGGACACCGGAAATGGGCTTAACACATTGTACCCATGTGGGGAATAGAACCCGGGTCTTCGGCGTGACGAGCGAACGATTTAAACACTAGGCTACCTCACCGCCCCTCAACATGCCGTGAAGTGTCTTAATGGCCATATTCCTGCTTACTTGTTTACTTCTATCTTGGGGCAACAGAAGCAGCAGCAGGCCACAGGTGGGCTGCGAAGGTTGATTGTCTCCCCTGACATGTGGCTGATCAGGGCATGCTCTCCTCCCCGATAGTGCATCAGCATTGGAATGAAGTTCCACACACAGAAGGCCAGGTAGCTGACATTGAAGACACATTGTAGAAAATGAATATAGGGTAATATTGTGCCTGAAAAGTATCAGTTGTCGAAATGACAAAAGAACCCAAACACATTCCTTAGCAATTGTTGGCCAGGTAAAATAAAGACAGATATAGAAAGAGAGCTACAACAAACGTTCTGTTAGTCTGAAAATTCACAAAACAACCAGAAGGTGTACATAAGAATGAAGAGGGTACAATAAAGAAACAGACTAATCGAAATCCTCACAATATGCTCATTGAGGTTACAATGATACAAAGATGGGGTTAATTGGAGGGCCAAAATTACACCTTCATCAGCTGTGTACAAAAGACAAAATAGTACAAACAGAAAATATACATTTTGCAATGTCAAATCCGAATCAGTGTTCGTGAGCACGTGTAAATTACTAAATACACCATTGCTTGGATTATCCTTCCAAACCTCGTAGTTTTATCAGTTAAATTTACGCAAATGTTAAGCCAGGATGACGAACACCATATAACATGTCCTGAACTGATTATCAATGAGGTGAGCTTAAATCCGTGGGTTCTGCTGGTATTGTGTATGTTAATAAAGTTGGCTTTCTTGTCGTTCTTTTGTTTATATATTTTATTCCATATGTGGATAATTAAAATGTACAGATGGAATCAGATATAATATTTTGAATGAGGTAGGTTTCCCGTGGGGGTAATGGTGACACAGCAGATGGTCATACAGTATGACATGGCGACAAAGTGTACCCTGGCTATTCAAATTAATTCCCCACATGTAATTGTTTTAGTGCAGATCCAAGAACCAATGAGACTGTTTAATTGCCTTTACATAACACATTTCTTTCCATATTGACCAAAAATCGTTGTGCACGCATTATATAAATCCATTTATTACCCACAGGGTAAAAATAGCCGACACTCTGCTCGCATAATACGTTCTTTGTATGAAAATATTGAAGTGAATTCTTACATGTATTAACATGTGTTAAAATATTCAGCTTTTCGTTCATTTGAGACTAGATACAAGGACTGCAAGTGATATCTAAAGGGTATATTTCAGAACTTAAGGAAGTGAGTTTGTATCCTACGTTTGAAATGCCGAATCTGTACTGTTTGAGACAATTGAAATACCTCTTGTACAAATCATCAGAATTGTCTGTGTCGTGAATGGCTGCAAAACTATGAGGCATTAAGCAAGAATCACGCTCATTCAGTCCTACATGACCTATATTGTGAACCTGTGTTAGAGTGGGTTCACAGTAAAGGGAGTACGCCTTTAACACAACAGACAGACAAATCCTATATTCACGTTTTGTATTGATACGGGACCAGACAATAATGTTGTTAACCGATACAGGCCTATTAAACTGTGTCAGTGGAGAGTGTGTGTCACGTACTTTCCACGTCCTTGTCATCCCCAGGACACCTGAGTCATGCTTTACTGACCCAAATATGGTTATGTAAACCTCACAATAGGCCTACGCAGGGAACCTGAATTCAATATGTTGTTGATTGTTCCTATGTACACATTCCTAACCAAATAAACCTGTGTTCGAGTTCAAAACGTGTTATCAGTGTTCCGATCAGTGCAAATTTCCCACAGTGGCTGTTATTGACAATCTCCTGAAAATTGATTTCGTTTTGTATAATAGTGAGTGAGTGAGTATGGTTCTACGCCACTTTTAGCAATATTCCAGCAATATCACGGCGGGGAACACCAAAAAGTGGGCTTCACACATGTGGGGAATCGAACCCGGGTGTTCGGCGTGACGACGATTTGTGTAATAACATACATGAATATCACATAAATGTTGATTAAATCCTGAACATGTCCTAAACCAATCTGTCTGGTTATAGTGAGGCCGTAAAGAATATATTATTCTACCATGACAATGTAAAATCATTCCTTGTGATTGGTAAGCCAAAAATAATGGACCTAAACTGACGTTCAAAAGAAAGTACACACCTGATTCTTTGGTAAAATATTTTCTTAAAAACAGCATTAATATTTTAAAAGTGTTGGGATTCTGCCTTGTAACAAGCATTTTGCAAGTGTTTCCAAAAAACCACAGATATCGTACCCAATTACAACATTGCTAGCAAAATATTTATGTGTTTGCTTTCAAAAAAGTCCCAAAATACCAGGTGTGTACTTTTTTATGTACGTCAGTATATATTCCACCATTTGTTGTTGACTGCACCACTGTTGGACAATATATGTATTTGAAAGAAATTCGACAACCAGACGTGTAGATAATAGAATATCATAAGCAACTATGAAAAATGACGAGTGTACGATAAAACAGCTTGACGTGTCACCCTATTCCGTCCCATATTGTGATGTCACATATAGTGCGTCACAAAACAAAGGCATTGTCGCAGGAACATTATGACATCATAAGGGTGACGTGTGTTTTTAAAATAACAATCGAAAAGTGGCTTCATTTTCCCAAACTTTGGCGGGGATCATTAAATGTCGCTGGTATCAGCGCAACAGGTTTCCATTGCCTCGTACTAAAGAAAGTCGAGTATTAGGATGGATTTTGTGTGAATGAATAAAAGCAAACATTCGCGGATTAAAACCGATGCCTGAATTTCACCTGTTAAATAAAATACGACTCAACGAATGCCCCGCGACTTCTTCACGCTGCTAGTATGAAATTTGAAGCCTGCATGTAAACGTTTCAACTTCAAAACCTCACGGAAACACATTATTTGGTTTAATATAAAATTTACAGTTCTCGGATGTAAACTGAAAACCTTCATATAGAAAGTTCATGTCCTCATCCGACTTTCATCCCTGATCAGAACAGAACAGAACAGAATTTTATTTCAGTAACAGGCCTCCGGCCCAAAATACATATACATTAATTGAAGGATAATTAGAGCACATATAATGTATTTCATTTAGATTTGTGTTCATCCCTGCTCACCTCACTACCAAATACAGGGCGGTAGTTCGATCGCCGATTGCGTCATGCCAAAAGACGCTGATAGACTGTGCATATTGTCATCTTGCCAGACGCTAAGTTTTAACATAACGCAACAAAGACTGGTCGTTTCAGTCAATCTAGTTTATACTTCCGTATCGAATCTCAGTGGTCCCACACGCTCACATGCACACGTGCATCAACATCGCTTCCTACGTGCAATTATACGAGATGATAAACCCCACTTCACTCCACCAAGTCTCCCAACATCCTGCCTCATACATAAGTGAGTGAGTGAGTATTGTTTTACGCCACTTTAAGCAATATTCCAGCAATTTCACGGCGGGGGACACTAGCAATGGTCTTCACTCATTGTACCCATGTGGGGAATCGAGCCTGGGCCTAGATTTTCGAAGCTCTCTTAGCGCTAACATAGTCGTAAGTGCCATATATTAACATTAACTTACGACCATCTTAGCGCTAAGAGAGCTTCGAAAATCTAGGCCCAGGACTTCGGCGTGACGAGCGAACGTTTTAACCACTAGGCTACCGCACCGCCCCATACATAAGTAAACACGCAGGTACAGATAAACGCTGTATGAGTTGCAGGCTTTGTTTACCACATGGAATAAGGACTTCAAACACAACCTATCAATAGCTTGTACAGAAAAAAATAAATATATCGCCCTACATATACACAAAGCCCCTGGTAATCCCTATGTGAGACTCACGTGGCCGCCATCAGGTCCACCAGTATGGTACATCGCGGTACGCACACAGCTGCCACGGCAGCCAATGAAAACACCTGTTGGTTGCAATTACAGGTAATACACATAAATGTAAATAAGAATAAAATTCTATGGAATGAGAAAATGTGACCTAAAGTTAAGACACAAATATTGGCAAGGCCTTCCCTCTGATATTTGATTTTAATGCCGAGGATGTGACTTATACCAATTGTTCAAATCCAGGAACAATATACCGGTGCCATTTTGAAGATATTGTCAAATTATGACCACAAAATGTGCAAATGTCCTAGTAACGAAATTTGTACCTGACTAATATGATTAACCCATGACTTCAATAACCCACGCTTGTCGTAAGAGGCGACTAACGGGATCGGGTGGTCAGACTCGCCGACTTGGTTGGCACATGTCATCGGTTCCTAATTGCGTAGATCGATGCTCATGCTGTTGATCACTGAACTCTCTGGCCTAGACTCGATTATTACAAACCGCCGCCATATAGCTGGAATACTACTGAGTGCGGCGTAAAACTAAACTCACTCATTCACTCACTACTTACAGGATGTACGCCGGTCATCCAGATGGACAGAGTCATTGTCTTCTGACTTCTGGAGTGTTGGAATATAAACCAGCTGGTTTCCAGAAACATGATGACATTAGCTAGAGCAACGACTCCACCCACAGCAACAAGAGCTAATTCCACAGTAGATATTCCTGCAGAATAGGCATAACGATGTCCAGACATTTGGTTACCACAACGCCATATACCTTAAACAAATGTCTGGGAGACTGTACAGATATAAAACTGAAACATGTACAAGTTAGTTACCTGCAAAGTAGACCTCAGAGACAGGTATTTCCATAGGACAGGGGGGACCATCAGTACTGGAAATATACAGATTTCTGATAGAAATGGTACTTCATGAATATACATCTTCAAATAACAGCATGCCAAAATACATATGAAATCAGTTAACACGATACAGTAATAATACAGGAATATTATTTTATTATTATTGTAGAGATAGTATAAAAGTTGTTATGTTGTATTTAGGAGCCTACCATATTCTATATTTTCATATTCTTGGGGCGTCCCAAAAATGCTTCACTTAAAACAATTTCATCATTTTAGTGCAAACTATGCAAAATATTGTTTCAAGTAAAACGAGCCAAACAGGTCTAAATCGGAAGTATAGTTGGTATTCATATATCTATGACTTAGAAACAATTTGAGATGGGTTTTCATCCTTCGGTTGATGGCAGTAGTGAAGATGTTCTGATCTCCGGATTTTGTCCTAAATAACAAACATAATTATGTTTGGATACGGTATTTTTGTCGAGTTTTGTCAACATGTATTCTATTTTTGTTATTGTTACAATATATGAGAAGGACACATATCTCGGGCACATATCCATTTCTGGGATACGGCTGATGCAATAATCAATTTACTTACTTGTTTGGGGCTTCGGATGCCATATTTGCGTCTCAGGACTTGATACATGTACAGCTGCACAACCTGCTCCATGTTGAAAACAGTTAATGAATTTCACGATATTAATGTCACACAAAGCATCTCCCTAAAGACGTTGAGGCACTGCTCTTTTTAAATTGTAGAGATGAAGAAAGAATTCACCCACCGCCGGGAACCAACATCAAACCAGGTACATATCTAGATCTGCTCATATGAAGAAGCACATACCAGTGACACCGAATAAAATGTCACAATTCATGTCATTTTTCGAACACCTGGTGTCATTACTGATTTTCAGTGGCCCATTCATATGGTTTTCACAGCTATTTCGCCTCTTATACCAAAGGGTATCTGTTTCCGTTTCTGAACAGTAAAATACAAGTTACACGCTGTGTGTGATTGACATTCTTTGCATGAAGCGCGCGTGTGATTCGACAGCTTTTAGTCCAAAGAACGGAACAGACAGAAACGACATTACTCTTGTCATGATAAGGGATACCTTTGGTCATAATAGGCCCATCAACATTGGAAGCTATAATTAGTTGACTGATAAATGTGCTCGAGTTGGTATTTGCGCCGGGACATGTATTATAGTCGGAGTTGCCAACGGGGTGCTTAGGGAACCTAGTTCACGTGCATCATACAATGCATTCATAAGAAATCTCTGCTAGAAGCAGAGTCGATTGTACAATTGTGGCTATATCATGAGCAGATATTTTTTTCAGCAGTAATACAGCTGCATGAAGCTGTTTGTAAACAAATCGGGTCTGCACCAGACAATCCACATAACTAATGGGATGGTCCTGTTCGAGTTGACCGATTACAGAACCAACAGCAATATTGTATGCTTAAATGTGCACTTGTCAGTGAAATCAGTAAAAATTAAATTTTGAACAACAATTACTTCCCAGTTTGAAAGCCAAGGACACTTACCACGTTATGCTAGATAAGACCCTTCATTATATAATCATAGTTACATTGTCTCATAGAATAGGATTAAAAGCTTCAATGATATCTTATCATGGTCTATATATTCACACAGATAAGCTAACCCAATTCAGAAACATTATGATAATGAATCCTAAGTAAGAAACCCGTGAAGAGGTAGAATTGGTCTTCAGTAACCCATGCTTGTCGTAAGAAGTGACTAACGGGATCGGGTGGTCTTGATCACTGGATTGCCTGGTCCAGACTGGATTATTTACAGACCGCCGCCATATAGCTGGAATATTGCTGAGTGCGGTGTTAAACAACAACCCAACCAACCAAGCTAAGTAAGAGATACAATATGAACTCTTTTCAATAGGTACTGCTTGTCTGTTACTGAAGTCTATTTATTACTAAACCTCACTTTTTCAAACATTGAGATGTGTGTACGTAGTCAATGCATGATCATCTCTCGACTGGCACATACCGTATACTTCGAGACACATTATGATGGTCATGCTGATGTTATTTCTACTTGAATTATAACAGATAATCTAAAAATCGTAAACGTTTGTGTGGCTTGCTTCAAGTTGGTTTACATTGATTGTGAAGCATAAGATGCTCAAGAATGAAAAACACGAAAAGAAAGTAAGTATTAAACATAATTATATTTTGCTCTTATTTTTGTTCACATTTGTGGATCAATATGTGGCCTCATAAATGACGAACATCAAAGCGTTTCCAAATATACGATTATATCAAACTGTAGTACGAAACAACAATAATAGGATGTCAAATATCATTTGAGAATAAAGTAATGAATTGATGTTTGTCTAAACCACTACATGACAGTCATTACACTGTAGACCCGTGAACACCCGCATCAAGACGGATTGGTTAAGGTATAACGAATTGCAACAAGCGGGATGTTATTTGTTTCTCTCGGAAATCTGTACACGTTAAAATACAACGTTTGCCCAAACACAAGAACTACTCCCTGTAATCTCGGGCCGGTCCTTCGTTAATTAATGATGGATCGGTCAAGTAACAAAGGGGAGGAGTCATTGAGCATCTTGTTGAAGATCAGGCCTACACCTACTTTGGAATGCCTTTTCGAGACAAGCTCCAGAATGCCCAGATTCAAGAAAAACTTCGGGCTGAGTATAAATCTCGCTTACAGAAAATCTGGAGCTCTGACCTAAATGCTCGAAACAAGGTCAAAGCTACCAATACGTTGTTTGCTGTGCCAGTCCTTTCCTATTCCTTTGGAGTAGTTGATTGGACAAAACAAGATATCCAGAGTCTTGACCGCCTAACCAGAAGGATCATGTCTGGTAACAGAGCCCATCACCCTCGGTCCTCTTTTAATCGTTTATATATGCTAATCGATTCGGTAGGCCGGGGTTTGATTAACGTGGAGGCTCTTCATGAAAACAAAGTAGTTATTTTAAGCGCGCCATGGTTGTTGGACAAAAGTCGAAGTTGATTTCGTTTATGGTGATGTACTTCTTGGACGGTACAGCGATGGGAGTAAACAGGTGAAATCATTCTCCAAGTCTGCCCAAAGTCGATCATTTGTCGAGAAGCTTTCTGAGAAGCCACTGCATCGTGTGTGCTAGACTAAGGCCTAGTCTCTGAATATATATAATTTTGATAGTAACAAACAAGCCCATTTATATTGAAAAGGAGCCCTGGGGAGACCAGAGATGCAGAACCTGAGGAAATCTAGACTTGCTTTATTTAGGGCTTTAGCACTGCAGAGAGGGCTTGGCAGTAGGGAAATTAATGTGGTTCAGGGACTGTGAGACAGACTACGTGTGTGCATGCGGTGTGATGAACAGAATAGCAATCCAACCGATCGACTCCGCTTAGATGAAGTCGGCTGGTCTTAAGACTGAAACTGCTGCCAAGGACCAGTCACTTCCCACTCGCAATTTCCAAAATGTGATTCTTAAAGAAATTATTAACATGAAATGTCGATTGTGCAATGAATTTACAGAGACTGTCCAACACCTTGTCGGTGGATGCCCCTCCATGGCACAAACAGCATATCTTAACGACATGATGGCATGGCTCGCTGCTTTCACCATGCCTGTGGCTTTAACTCTGAGGTCCGTCCAAGGTACGACCCTGAACATGTCCATTATGGAAAATGATGCTTTTAAACTTCTTTTGAATAAGCCCATGAATTTTGAATTCCTGCGAACAAACCAGATCTTGCCCGTTTCGATATTACCAATGAATGTATTCATGTTATTCAACTTTCTGTCCCTTGTGACAGCAACGTGATTGGCAATAATCAGGTAAAACGTTCTAAATGTGCGGACCTCGCCTTTGAAATGTCTCGCTTGCATCCAAGGTACACTGTCGTCCGACTCTGACCTTGTTCTCGGTGACCTTGGTTTGGTACCCCTGATCCCTTGCGCAGATCAGGAGAGTGCCCGGGTTCTCCACCGGGAGCACAGCCCTTCTGACCCTCAGGATAATGCAGAATGCTGCAGTGTTGGGGAGTCTCCATATTCTTCGGAAAGTTATTGATGGGTTCGACTCGGCAGCGCTTCCTGGGAAAAGTCCCATTCGCTGTCTGTGCTGCGTGTAGAAGGGGCAAGGGCCCTGAGCTGAACCTTACCAACCTGACTGTCCCAGGATGACCCGAACTCTCTCTGCTGCATATTTCATCTGCATATTTCATCTTAATCTGTAAAAATGAAAAATAAAACAAAAACACCAAATTTCCTATGAAACCGATGAAACCCACACTCCATGCATGCATAACAAAGCTGGAAACCTTCAGTTAAGTTTGTGTTAGAGACAGCTGTGTTGAAAAACATTATATTTCTCACTTAATACGAATTGAGTTTTCACATTTTTAAAAAGTCTATGAAACCGATGAATATACAGCATAACAAAGCTGGAAAACCTTTTAAGTTTGTGTTAGAGACAGGAAACATTATATTTCCTCTTATTTTTTTAAGTCTAGTACAGTTTTTTGGAAAAGTTACACCGTCACATTGAATGTTGGTTGTGATGGATGCGGATTGCCCAGATCTTACCTTTGTCACTTTTGTCATAGTAATAATGTTTCTTTCATTACATTGTTACATTATAATGATATATGCCAAAAAAGTGCCACAATAACATGTTTACTCGCAATATGGCGCCTTGTACACTCGTACAACATTATCTCTACAAAAAAATATCTAATGTTAAGCCATACAGTAAACAAGTTTTGCCATGTCATGATGGAAAAGCACAATATAATATATCAACTAGAAAACCTGATAACCTCCTTTCAGTATGACACGTATTAGTGATACAGAAACCTGTTCTGTGTAACCTTTTAACAGTGGTTTGTTTGTTGTTATGTAACGCCACAGTGAAGATAAAGCTACTCTGTTTTCAATTTTGCGGTCCTTTATCGTTGATTTAAGACCGCTAAATGAAATTTGAAAACTGAACGCGTTAGCGTGAGGTTTTAAATTAAACATTTAGCGGTCTTAAATCAACGATAAAGGACCGCAAAATTGAAAACAGAGTAGCTTTATCTTCATTCTAGCACGACTGATAAGCGTTCTAAAACCAAACTGTTTGGTGCGCAAGAACACAAGGCGTGAAGGGGCCTTTTTCCTGCAAATCGCTTGGAATCGTCCCGTTGAGGGACAGGTTGTGTAATGAACAAAATAAGACATTTTCAACAACATAAAATCTTTATTTCAGGAACCAGTATGCTTGTATTTGTAGCAAGTAGCATACATAAATATAAAAAAAAGTACAATTTATACTGTGAGCAAGTACAATTATTTGATTTTTCTCAAGCAAATTATGGGGCGGTGGGGTAGCCTAATGGTTAAAGCGTTGGCTCGTCACGTCGAAGACCCGGGTTCGAATCCCCACATGGGTACAATGTGTGAAGCCCATTTCTGGTGTCCCCCGCCGTGATGTTGCTGGAATATTGCTAAAAGCGGCGTAAAACCAAACTCAGTCAGTCAAGCGAATTATTGTATGACAATCGACTTGACCCAATTCAAGCCGTGAACTCGCTTAGTTTAGTCGCCGTTAACTTTATTCACGGAAATAATTGTTGATAACCACCCTTCTATTCCCAGTTTGGAAAAGACCTGACATGCCACGTTTTATGTGGGATACATGGACAGTGGAAGTGGAAGGACTGGGCATTACGGCTGGGACAAAAGCGGTCAGGTTAGGACGTGTGGGCCGACGTGTGTTGTCGAAGTCAACACTCATAGATCTGTACCCGTTTTGAATATACTGCCGCTTTTGCGCTGCTGACGGATTTTCCAGCTTCGTAGTGTCTTCACTGGGATTAGGGTCAAGAAATTCTTCTTCAAACAATTCGCTCTTTACTTCAAAAACACCAAAGATGCTGCCGAGATAGAAATTGCCGATGTCCGACATGTTTGTTTACAAACAATAGGGTCAACGAGTTCGTTGTATATTCATACGCGGTGAATCGGTCACTTTAATTAGCGGTCCTTAAACTGTCATTTAAGTACGGTTTTGATGAGCTCTCAGCCAATCAGAATCGAGTATCACACATTGTCGTGCTAGAATATATATAACAGCTATATGACGGAGTGGATCTACATAAGTAGGATAGGATGATATGCATCAGCAAGGTCAGCATAACCTGGCTGTTATGATAACGGCATAATATACAGATCCTGAATCTCCATATTTATGACAGACACAGGATATGAGGTTGCTGAAGATCGGTACCATATATCTGATCTTCCTGGCTTCCATATGTAATACAACCTGTTATACCACTTACGGAATCTTCCATATGTAATGTTACAAATCCTACAGGATATAGATTTTACTGTGTTATGATAACGGCATAATATATCTGACCCACTTACGCGACAGAAAATGCATCTGGAAATATATTGGTAATTGTAGTCGGCCGGGTAAAACTCTTATAACATCATCATTATTTATAGTCTGTCATAAAAACCGTGAAGCAGCCCATCTAAGTCTAGAATGTGTGGCAAGTCACAGAGTTTCTGGAAATGAAGAAAGACTCTGGGCTCTGATTAACATGGGGCGGTTGGGTAGCCTAATGGTTAAAGCGTTGGCTCGTCACGCCGAAGACCCGGGTTCGAATCCCCACATTGGCACAATGTGTGAAGCCCATTTCTGGTGTCCCCCGCCGTGATGTTGCTGGAATATTGCTAAAAACGGCGTAAAACCAAACTCAGTCAGTCAGTCTGATTAACATAATTTAAAAACTTTTTTTTCTGTAAAATATTTCAGGAACAGGGTGTTAGCCTACATTATCTAATGTCTTGCTGTTTTGCTCTGCTGTATGGGATATCATAAGATTATTGACCTATTTAACAGTTAATAGTTTGGCAATGTCAGTGTGTACAGCCATGGTGATGTCCTTGACATACCTCCTTCCACGCTACTCACACGATGATATCACCGCCTTCAGACTGATGGACATGACTTGCTATCGTTGGCTCCTTTAAAAATTCTTCCAGAGTTGCCAAGACAAGTGTAACTTTTACATTTGACGAATTAGTTGCTTCTTTCCCAAAATGATTTTGGAAGATGCCCTACCAACTGTCGCCGCGAAGGAACACGATGGTGCCATGATGCTACACAACAGACAGCACGATTTAAGCAAGCTCTGAGGCTATGAAAGATCTGCCACTCGATGTGTATGTTTTGACGAACATGAGGTCATTAGATCAACTAGAACCGTCACGAAAGACGTATACAAAAAAAACTCTGGAAATTCTAGAGTGAGTGAGTGAGTTGGGTTTTGCGCCTCTTTTAGCAATATTCCAGCAATATCACGACGGGAGACACCAGAAATGGGCTTCACATATTGTACCCATGTGGGGAATCGAACTCGGTTCTTCAGCGTGACGACGAACGCCTTAACGACTAAGCTACCCCATCACCCGCGGAAATTCTAGAATAAGTCGTTATAAGGCGCCAAAAATACAAAAAAATGGAATTTGGTACTATTCCAGACAGTCTCAATTAACCGAACAAAGAATATGAAAGCAAAGTCCTCGATACGGCCAGCTCCAGACCGATTGACAAGATGTTATCGTTGTCCGCTACGTCGCCACCAACCTGTTCTGCCATCTCGACATCGATGGCGAAACCTTGATTTCGACAGTCATAATGATGTGACGCCCAAACAGTGACATTGTTACATTTTGCAAGTCGATCTTTGAGAACACAGTTAAGATTTAATTCATATGATAATAAACCCTGCAACAGACTTGGTGTAGATGACAGAAAGTCACTTTTGTCTATTCAACGGCTGCAGTTAAAGATCTTGGCTTGGGCAGGGGTGGTAACTGTGGGTGGATATTATAAAGCAAAAACAAATGCAAGAGGTTTGGCGTGAAGTTTGAAAGTGTGCATCGATTTCATTGATAAACCGATGTGCGGCTGTTGTGAACGCTATGTTTTTGAGACGAAATCTGTAAGTTATACATTGTATATGCATGTAGGATATGTCTTTATTAAAGTGTAATTTACGTAATGTTTATTTAAAGCCTCTTTGGGCGTTGCCACCGTATTCTTGTGATGCGTAAATGTTATTACCGTAACTGCCGTTATTAGGAAGGTTCATATGCTGATATCATGATCTATATGCGGTGCTGATATTGTTTACCAACGCATCAGTAATAATTTACGCCATGTGTTTCACCTCCAAAATGACCTTTTGGGTGCGACACTCTACAAAATACAGATGTTTATGAGAAAATCGTACATTCGGATGTTTAACGACACTAGGAGGATTATAAACATATACCAATCCTAAATCACGAGGGATGTTCGAAAAATGGGTAATTCAATCAATTAAATTTTTGGCATAACTTAAATGCAGATTCTAGGAAATATGCCTCAGGCTGTTAGAAATACCCCAAACGGCAAGACTTTATTACTTTTCTTTAAGAATATAATTATCTAATACTTCAACTAACACCGAAAGTCTTACCGGATATCAACCCAGTAGTCAGCCATCATTCCTTATCTTCCCACGATGGTAAATCAAGAGGTCGGAGATATCATTTAGAAAATATCAATGAAATTAAAGAAGAATATGCCGCCCAGACACAAAATACTATTGATATAAGAAATGGTGACAACCTAAGAGTATTGTTTAAGTATTGAAGACTGTCTATCTCTTGACACCTTGGTATTCGTAAAGGTTAAATCAATTGCCTAAAGTTCTTACTTAAAGAAAGATGTGGAAAGGAAACGTGAGAGAATTATAAAGAATAGAGATAAGACAATGTGTAACTTACAATGTGTAACTTACGGAATATTTATGCTTGAGTGAGTGACGACACTGTGGGGATACGAACCCGTATGTTCAGCGTAACGAGTGGACACTTTAACCACTAGGCTACCCCACCGCCCCCGTTTGAAACAGAATTGTCAACGAATATATATGAAAACGATACAGAAGAAGACCAACAGAGATAGGAAAACGAATTCCATACTATGAGGAAGAAATAAAAGAAAAATAATTCCGGCATTTATAGAAATTTCACAGGAAAGTCTGTCGATAGTTTAATTTCTGAAAACGGTGATATTATCACTGACGTACAGCTCATGTTAGAGAACAAAATGATTTTTTATCAAACTGATAATACGAGTGATGAAGAAAACTTTAGCTTTATATCGAGAATTGATTATCCCGAAACTGCCAAATTCTATAATGAAAAATTAAGCGAAATCAATTGAAATAGACTGAATTTTCAAGGCGATTCAAAACAAAAACAGCTTAAGTTCAAGTATCGATGGGTTGTCAACAATCTACAAAGGTCTTTAAGGTGTTTTGGATAGACATTTAGGATCATAGATATAATGGCACAATCTTTGGAAATAATCGACGGCCTCAAACAATGGACAGGGTGTACACTAAAACGAGGAAATGATAAAGACGATGTACTCACAAAATGCAAACTGTTGATACCTTTTGCTGGTTGATTGGGATTCCAGGTACTCCGACACAGACAAGTTATAATTTATTGGTTTCAAAAGGGTTGTTTCTTAAGGTCAATGTATCTGCATATAAAGCGTCATCACAGTACAGCCCCGGAGTTGACAAAGACTGGTCATTTCAACTCTGGGGTGTCCTAAATCCCCACCTCACTGTCTGACGTGCGTGTCTTACTAGGGGGTAGATTTTACCGTAAATGCAAGAGAATAACAAAGGTTCAGATAGATGTTATTTGGCGTAAAGTGAGCTCATATGAATGGACAACTGAAAATGACTGCTGTCATTAGGTGTTCATGAAGCTTTAAACGACACGTTATTTAAGAAGAAGAAAAAAATATTTGCGCTTTCCTAATTATAGATAAATCAGAATAGCCCACTCAGTGGTGTTATGCTACACGAATAGAACGTATTTACCTTTTATCAAAGACTTTTAGCTGGATTGTTTACCCGCTGCTTAAATCATCTACTCACAGTTTTGGTGGGGAGTCTGGACATCGATGTGAGCAGAACCCCGTGATCTGCTCAAGTACTCCCTAGACACGTAAATATATTCTGCAATCGGACGAGCTCTTGAGATAACGTGACACATGAAATGCTGCAAGCAAATAGGGCTTTTTCTTCACCTTCTTAAATGTTGTATATCAAGGTCATATTGAACCCATGGGAATACGTATTCATAATATACATATGTACACATGTATGTACGTATGCATGTATTAGTGATAAAGGGTTGCTGTTATGACGATCGAATTACAGTGAGCACAAAAAATAATCTGTAGGTGAGTTTGTGTACATGTTAAACGACCGGTGAGCAATATTTGAGCTATGTGACGATTGCCTGTACATTACCCGGGCGTGACAATTCGGTGATTGATATCATGAGCAAACACCCACTCTGTCGGGGTAATCGGATACATAATCAACCAAATAATTGAATCTGGCCGTACAATCCTCTTTTGACAGCATAGGTTTCTAAGGATACCTTCAAGGGCAGAACCTCCATTTATTCACCTTCAACAAGAAGCTCGGAACTGGGGACACAGCCCGTGATCCTTAGTGGTCTATGACCTCAATACCAGTTATTATAAAACTGTTTATTCAGAGGGTAGCACAATGGTTAAGCGTTTACTCTTCATGCCGATAGCTATTGTTCGATTCCCAACATTACATAATGTAGCCAGGACCGCCTCCGTGGTGTAGTGGTTAGAGCGTCCGCCCGGAGAGCAGAAGGTCGCGGGTTCGATCCCCGACCGCGTCATACCAAAAGACGTTAAAATATGGTACTTGTTGGTCCCTGCCTGGCGCTCGGTATTAATGGGTACAACAAGGACTGGTCGGCTCGGAGTCAGTATAATGTGTCTGAGTGGGGTATTCATGTTTCACTGCGGCATGGTATCTCAGTGGGCTAGCACTATAAAACCAGCTTAAGTCTGGGCTAGTACAAGCAGCCGCACATACACATACACACGCATGCACGTCGTCATATGAGCGAAATATTCTCAAGTACGACGTTTAACCCAATTTCACCTCACCTCACATAATGTAGCCAGTTGTTGTTTTTGTTTGTTTGTTTTGTTTGGGTCATATTTGTGTAGTTCCGGAGAGCCAGCACTGACCTTTGTAGTACGTAGACACACACCCCCACCCCACCCCCTACGCACACAGATTGTAGTCTCCCCCACAGGCCCCATTGCATATATTTAATGAGACATCCACCCTCATACCATATCCAACTCGATCAGCCTACAAGAACGCATACAATTATAGCTCCTGAAAATGAGTGACTTGTGGGGTTCCTTCCGTCTACGCCCGTCTATTGGAGGCCGATACATTGTTTCTATCTACTGAGTCACGAGTGCAGCTATCGGAGCTGTCAAAAAAACTCCAGTGTGTCACAGAGCGCCACTCCACCTAGTGCATTGACCTATTGCAGCACCAGGATCCGATAAGGAATAATAAGGCCAGCCTTGATGCAATCTTTTAACATTTTTCAATCAACTCCCAACACAAGTATCACGTGTACCTGACCTCATAGATATGTCTGTCTTGCGGATACCTAGGCTACCTAACGTCCCTACCGAATAATATCTCACATTACCTAATGCTGGCCTCTAGATTACATGTTTTTGGTCATAGATAAATTTAAACGACAGATTTTACACTGAACCAACAATGCTCATGAAAAGAGCGGCCGTCGTCTTTGAATCGGGACAAAATATGCGGAATATATGTTTTAAAAATTAAATCTTAAAACGTTCTTTCAAGTAAATTGAAAGAACTGTTGTTAAACTTGATTGAAAATAGATTGGACATACTGTCAATAGAGATTGTGTTTAGTTACAGAATGCATGTTTCATCAACTAGTTTTAGAAAACTAACAGCTACATCAACTCTCAAAAATGAAATAATACTCAAAGTACAATTATCAACGCACTATAATTAATAGTAATACGTTCATCTATTAAAATCGCTAAAATGAGACCGGAAACAATCACCGCATCACGCCACTATCAATCCACACAACCTGACCACCATTCCCACTCCACCCTAACAAATGCCTACCCGCACAACAAGCCCCCAATTCACGATCACGACCTCTGTCATAATGACGTTGTGTTTACCTGGTTGGGAGTGTATATATGTGTACTTTAAGAGACAGCGTAGGGGCAGTTACAGAACGGTGTCACGCTTCTCTGTAGTTACAGGTGCATGCAAACAGTTGACACAGTAGATGTCCCGCGATGCTGCCAGATAACACAGAACTGGATGAGACGATGTTCACGTGTCCACAAAGCTAATGTGTGTGAGCTTCATTGCATGCTTAGGCTCGATTTCGTAATGTCTGGTTTCAGAAAACCGATCCCACGATGCCCTGTGCGGGGCCATTCATTTACACTTTGTGTCTGCAGAAACCGGATATAAAGTCTGCAAAACATGGACAGCGTCTACCTCTCGGGTTTGGTCAGTTTGAAGAATGCTCGTAGGGGCGTCTCTCGTGTGGTAGACGACACACAAATCACATCCAGATCACAAGTATTGCATTAAAGCAGGTTTAGAGATCTCAGGTACATATTGGCATTAAATGGTACTCATCTCTCGAAGATAGTTAACGATCTTTTCTATATAGAGTTTGGGGTCTCTATAACATACACTACTGGGCAAAAGAAAATTATCACTTTTAAATTAAGTGTATAAAAAAATATATAAAAAACTCTGGTGATGGTTTGAAACCAACCAGAACACATTCGCCAAAACGCAACATGGTCCCGATAACAACGCAGCTGTCCGAAAACTTCGTACGAATCGTGCATTTTTCAAAACGTGAAAAACTTAATTGTGGTCCAAATGCACGTGCATGATTGTGGCATAAATACGGATGTTGGACAGAGCAGGCATGCAGTAACCAAATAAACACCACGAATATGCCAAGACTTACGCAAGCGCAACAAGACAGAACGATCGGTATGGCCAATATGGGGGCTTCACAACGTCAGCTGTCAAGAACCTTCAACTACAGACAGGCCACCATCAGCAAAATGAAAAACCCCCTACCAGCAAACAGGCCAGACCCATCGGGAAGACCAAGAGTCACCACACCAAGAGTCACGCCACAACACCCGGCAGATCCACTTCCAGATCAGATTCATGACGGCGATAGCACTAGGACACGCCATCAACAGACGAACAGTCTTTCGACGACTTAGTATGGCTGGTATACGAGCCTATCGCCCTTCCGTGGAATGGCCTTGGCCCGTTTCCACCGTCAACGCTGATTGCACTTGGCACAAGCTGTACGTTGGTGGCAGCGACGTGATTGAGAGAGGGTGCTCTTTACAGATGAAAGCCTGTTCAGTCTGTTCAGACACTATGGCAGAGATCGTACTTTTCGACGTAGAGGAGAGCGACGTGTGCCAGATTGCGTTCAAGAAGTTCATACGTTTGATTGAGATGGCGTCGTGGTATGGGGCGCCATTTGTGGCCAGAGAACAAGACTGGTTATCATCCGAGGAAATCTTAATGCCCATCGATACAGGGGTGAAGTGTTGGGACCTATTGTGGTGCCCTTTATTCGACAACAGTCAAAAGCAGAGTAGTCATTTTGCAGCAAGACAACACAAGGGCTCACACCTGCAGAATTGTTCGAGAATACATGCACAACGTTAGCGTATGCCTTGGTAAGCGCGTTCGCCAGACATGAACCCCATTGAACATCTCTAGCATTATCTTGATCGTCAACTGAAACAGCGTGTACCACCTCCAGCGAACCGACAGGAACTTGAACAGACTCTCATGGACTGATTCCTGCTGACGTCATCCGCCGACTGACTACGTCAATGAGGACACATGTTGACGTGTATTGATGCCAAGGGTGGTCACACTCGCTATTGACGTGTCACCTGACCCCTGTCTCATTATGTGACCCTTTATGCACTTTTTTAATGAACTCTGATTTGTGTAATTCTAAATTTAACCACTTGACTCTTTCTTAATGAATTGCGGCAAATGCAAGACCAGCATTACAATGAAGTTTCAGTCAAATTATTGTAAATTATTTCTGTTTGTAAAATAATTATCCTAATTTTACATGCGTCTTTGTTTCTATTTTATGGTCAAGTGATAACTTTCCTTTTCCGGGTAGTTCATATACTTGCTAATTTTAAACTGAAAAATGGATATGACACCGCGTGGCTGGTTTTGGGTTTGATTAATCCCGCTAGGTCTGGAACATCTTCCATTGTTAAACACTGATATCTGCTTCTGAATGCCTCACCAAGTGAACATAATCCCAAATTTCAAATCAAAGTGTTTTTTCACGTCTAAGCAGGACGTGGATTCAAGATAGATTCAAGGTTGCCGTGTGTTGGTTATGTTAGACGCAGTAAACCCTGACCTAGATGTACTACAGTACAGTCAACGTGCATGCCTGATATAATAGACAACAAATATATCTTACTTACAATCTGGCTAGGAGGTAGATAAAATATTCAGCGGACTCGTTGTCCTGTATTTCACCCTTGGAGTGCCTACAGTCGACGTCACTGACAGAGTTACTTCCCATATACAGGCATTTTATGTTTAGTTTATATATCATAATCAAAGTGTGACGTCAGAAGTTAAACAAACCAGGTCAACAATCTGAAGACTATAAAACCCTATCCATACGTTCCCCTTATCATGATAGTTATATCATCCGTTTGGTCAGCCTCAGAGACTACCAACTACCACCAAGCTGTAAGTATTTATCGGCGTATCAGTATAGATCTTCACGAATACGAACCCAAAGCAAATTATTACCGTTAAGGTTTCACTCCCTATCTGTCATTTCCATTTATTTTAAAATTTTATAATTTATTTGTATTCCTTTGAACACCCTACAGATACTGTCAAGTAAAAGGTGTGTATCAATCCAACAACATCGTTAACTCTGACGAACAGAATTATTGAATCAGACTGAAATTCAGTAATTGAATCACTCGTAAAATATATGATCCCACAAACCCAAGATCATGTCCTTGCAGATGACGTGAGTGAGTATGATTTTATGCCGCGTTTAGCAATATTC